AATATAGATTGTCATTCTTTTCAATATGTAAATTTGATATAATTTCTTGATTTATCAAATTGCACTAACTCGTAGATGAAAGAAAATATTAATCAAAAATATAAAGAACATTATTATTATTATTATTATTATTGTTTATCTTGATTAAAGAAAATAAAATGTCTCTTTTGAGGGAGGTCTTCTGAGACCAGGGTCAAAGACAGGTGGAAATGTTTATTCCCACTCGGGGTGACAGTTACAAAAGGCTAAAATTAGCTAATATGTATTTAAAAATTAATATGACCAAAATTGTAGCTAAAAGCTAAATTTAGCAAACCTGTTGCTAAGTACTAAAATTACCAAAACTGTAGCCTTAAGCAAAATCTAGTAAAATCTAGCAAAACAACATCCAAAAGCTGGAGTTAGCAAAACTGTGGACGGAGAGTATTAAAATTGTAGATAAAGCCGAAATTATACAAAACAGTAGCTAAAACTAGCAAAACTGCCATTAAAGGGGGAAAACTGTGGCTTCAAGATAAAAACTATTAAAACCGTGGCCAAAATTAGCAAAGCGGGTAAAAAAAAAACATGATGTGACAAAAACTTGAAATTAGCAAAGCAATCGACGAAAGCTCAAAGAAGACAAAAGAGCGAGTAAGACTTAAAAGAAAACTGTGTTGAATCACTGTGGAGAGCTCAGTGTCTTTTTATGGCAGAAATCTTTTTTAAAGGGGACCTATTATGCAAAATTCACTTTTTAAAGGTTTTTTTACTCAACTTTGGGTATGTACTTCTTAAAAAAACAGTCCTATGACCAAAAAAAATGCACCCAGGTGCATATTTACTGTAAGTAAATGTATTTTTAATGTATATTAACGACAAGTTTTATACTTCCATCATTTTGTGATGTCACAAGCCGTACGAMAACCCACCAGAACCTGCCTTCAGACCCTCAACTAGCAACCCCCGGGTGAAACTCCTCCTCCTCAGTATAAAAGCCGTCACGGTTGTTGCGCAATGCGCAGCTCATTTCACAACAAGCCTCCAACAGTGCAATGGGTAGAGTGTTGGACCAGAGAGTGGGAGACCAGGGTTTGAGACCGGAACGGACACAATTTAATTGAATTAAACACATTTTCTCATGTACCTCTATTGTTCAGCTTATTAAAGCCTTGTTAAAGCCTATTTGTTCGAGTTTCTGAGGTATTTTGACCGCTGCTGCTCCCTGCTCTGGTAACAGCATGCAGAGTGAGCACAGAGCAGAGGAGGGAGAGAAAAAAAAAGCTACGACCGACTCTGCCTCTGGGTCTGACTCAGGGTCTCATATATACAGTTGTACAAGGGTGCTTCTGCTTAACAGATTTTTGGAGGGCGTTACAAACAGAGCTCATTAACATAAACAGCTCTTCTGAATGGAAGTCAGAGCAGGCAGAACTAGAAAATGGGAAATTTTATTATCTGAGAATTATTTTGCGCATTAAATTGAATGAACATGGTCTGGAT